TATATCTGTCTTATGCGGCATCAAATTCTTGCCTACTTGAAAGCCACTCTGAGTCCCCTTTGGGGTGAGAAGTGCAGGGTATAAATATAGCAAATAAAGAAATAAAGAAATAACATTGACACTGCAGTGTAACAGTCTGAGTTCTGTGAGTGCAGCATTTTTTCAGCATGAAGCAGGGAGTGTTTGAGGATCGGGACATCTGTAGGGATATCAAAGTGCTTGTTTATAGAGCTTCTATCCTGGGATTTATAGTTTGATGAGGCACCAGAAGTCTGGCAGAGTAGACTAAAGACCTTGTAAACCATACAATCTAGTTCAAAGCAGATAATCCGAATTTTATGTGGCAGTGTAGAAAGGGCCTAAATCTGCACTGCCCTATAATCCAGTTCAGAGCAGATAATCTTTATTCAGAACTTGGATTATATGGCAGTGTAGATGGGGCCTCAGCATCAGAATCAGAGCTGTAGTGTTACAAGATCTTTGCCTTTCTGTCTTTCCAAATGACTGATCCCAGGATTCCATAACATTGAGCCATGGTTCAATGTTATGGAATTTATGTTGCAGTGTATTTATGTTGCAGTGTAAATGCGCCCTAAATCTAGTCGAATCTAGTTAATATAAACCCTTCTGCTTTTTTTCCCAATTGGCTGCTCCCCGTCTCTTGCGTTTTGTTTCTTCCCATTTCAAAGTCCACCTGCCTCTCCTGCTATTAATAATTAGACTTAGTTCTTTCTTAATTCCAAACTTCATCTTCATCTCAGATCTTTAACAGAAGCCAAATGTTTATTTATGAATTTAATTATACTTTGCACTTTGGTGAAGCTCTAGAGCCCTCTTGCAAAGAGTTCTAAATAATTCTGCTATATTGCAAATCCCAGAGGTTGATGATAGCTGTTAAAACACTGAGTGCTAGAATTGTATGGTGTGAAAGAAATCCGTAAAATATGTAGCTCTGTTTTAGAGGTGCATCTATACTGCACAATGAATGCTGCTTGACCCCACTTTAACTGCCATGGCTCAGTGCTGTGCAATCTTGGCATTTGTAGTTTGATGGGGGCAAAAGCACTCTTTGGTGGACGCTAAAGATCTTGTAAAATTTTCCTATCATTGAGTAATGGCAGTTAAAGTGGTGTCAGACTGCATTTATGCTGCACTATAGATCCACCCTAGGTCTGCAGGCATGAGCCAACTTCGCCCCTCCAGGTGTTCTGGACTTAAACTTCCACAATTCCAAAACACCTGGTGGGGCCAACGTTTGCCCATGCCTGGTTAGTGTATGGCTTTTACTTTGGAGTTATTTCCTAAATACTCTCATAAGCAGTGGCATATAAAAACTTGCACAGAAACCAAGGCTCATCTACACTGATTATTTAATGCAGTTTGAATTACTGCGATGAGTAATTTAGTGACTGTCGCTAAATTGGAGGGTGGGGGGAGGAAGGGGAAGTATAATCAAATATGAATGTTGTATAGATGTTAGAAAAGTATTGAATTGGTTTGTGCATATTTACATGTATATCGAATTGTTTCACATTTTTTATGAACATGTACATTGGGGCCCCTGGTGGTGAAGTGGGTTAAACCGCTGAGCTAATGAACTTGCTCACCAAAAGGCTAACGGTTCGAATCTGGGGAGTGGGGTGAGCTCCTGCTGTTAGGCCCAGTTCCTGCCAACCTAGCAGTTCGAAAACATGCAAATGTGAGGTCAATAGGTACCACTTCTGCAGGAAGATAACAGCATTCCATAGTCATGCTGGCCACATGACCTTGGAGGTGTCTACGGACAACGCCGGCTCTTCGGCTTAGAAATTGAGATGAGCACCACCCCCAGAGTCAGAAACGACTAGACTTAATTCCAGGGGAAACCTTTACCATTACCTGCCTGGATAAGAAAAGTTCCAGCTGCAGACATTCCTTGTTCTAAGACTTTGTTCCAAAGTTTTTGCAAGTTCCTTCCACTGAAATGTAGCCCATAGCACCTAGCATGTGTTGGTAGACGCCCATACAGTTACAGTCCAGAACTGACTCTGCTTAGCTTCCAGGATCAGGTAAGATCTGGCACAAAATAGGAATGAAAGGCGCCTGCAAGCCATGGAAACCCATTGCATGACCTCAGGTAAGTTGCATGCTCTCAGTCCCAGAAAACTTTGATAGGTTTGCCTTTGGGTTGTAAACAAGAATAAAACACCAATACCGATTTATTATTAAATTAATTTATTGTAACTTCAACTTCAAATCATTAAAAAAACGCCTATCCATTGAAAATAAGAATGCTGACTTTTCATGCCTGAGATAGCTGATCCATTGCCAGCAGATTTCAGAACAGGATTGATTTGTCTTGTTAGCTGCCACAGGGGTCATTACTATCATCATTTTCTCCTTAAGAGATAATCTTTTGAGGCCAGAATTTCCCTGAACTTCCAAGGCAGCGAGTCTGAATTAGCCAATATCTGCGCAAAATGAGCTCATTCTATTCAGATTTCAGTTATATGTTCAAGCAGTTGCAGTACTATAGCAACCCCCTGTGGACAGCAATGTATTTTCCCAACAAGTGTTTCTACAAAACAGAAAATTCAGTTTGTAAAATAGTGTCTTAGGTTGTGGTTAAGCCTACTGCTCTTGAACTAGATTAGCAGAAAACCTTTATCATTGGCAGTTGCTCTTTTATCACTGTTATCACTGCAGTTGCTCCTATGCATTTCCCTCCATTCATGGTGGCTGCTTGCAGAGAGAGTAGGAAACATTAGCCCTCCAAATCCTTTTAATGTCTACTTCCATAATCCCTTACCAATGGCTCCATTGGGCGAGACTTGGGATTTCAAAACTGTCTGATGGACCAGAGAATACACTCTTACCTATTAAGTAGAGACAAGGCAGCGAGTGAAAGGACTAGGGAAAAAAGGCCGAATGCAACCAGTTTTAAGACTGGCATGTTGCAAATATCACCTTGGATAGTGCCGGTTGCATCCTGACATTTCCAAATTGCTCTCTTTGTAGCTGGGTTGGCAAAAGCCACACTCGGAAGCAGCACATCACGTGGGGGATGGAAACATATGCTTCGGGTGCTGCTTGCGGCATGTGTTCGCTTGTGCCATTTTCAGAGCACTTCACGTTCCTGTCATAATAGGCAGGGGGCAGAGCATCAAATCTCAAAAGCCTGGAAGCCTACCTCATTGAAGGCTGAAAGATCAGGTGGGAGACACTTGCCATGGGGGTAAACAAATACGGTCTGTTGCATGATAGCTCCTTACAAGTTATACGAGAGCTCTCTTTGTGCTGAAACTTAGTTGGAATCTGCTGAGATGGTGTTATGGCACCATTAACAGCAGAATGGATTTATCACCCCCACAGAAACAAATCCATGTGGCACTTAATGGCTAAACCTCAAAATAACATTCATTTTATGGTTCACTGGTATGTACTGATTTGCTCCAAGCCCCATCCTGATTCAACACAGCAAGGCTTATGACTGAGCTTTTGAAGCGAGACTTTTCCGTCTCACCTATGAGACACACAAGTTTTCCTCTCCACTATCTTATATGTCAGTTGATGCAGAGAATCTCAGAATCAGGCATGTGGGATAAGTCTCCACAAAGTCCTCTAACACAAAGGGAAAAACTAACTTGCGCTAAGCTTTCACATCGTGCCCAGTATGAAAATGATGCACCTGTGCTATCCTGCCACCTGAGAAGGAAATGTTTTTACCACAAACCCAGAAATACAGTGTAAAATTATTGCCTTGTGTACACACACACAGCAATATGTGTGGGACAGATTTGTTGTTCAGCTGGATTATCAAAGTGTACAGTAAGACCAAAAATGCTTCTCAGGGCCTTCCAGACATGCCCTATATCCCAGGTTTTCTGCTTCAAACTGGGTGATGAGTCTGCACTGCCAGATAATCTGGGATAAACAGAAAAACTGGGACCAGATCCTGGGATATAGGGCCTGTTTGGAAGGGCCCTCAGAAGCTGTGTGCTGGTTAGATAAGGCACTTCTAGATAAGGTACTTCTACTTCTTGTTAAGGAATCCAATGGAGGTCAGATTAGCACCTGGAGCAAGAGATGGATAAGGATAGTCTAGGCCCTCCATGCTTGCAAACTTTTAAAAATCGGCTGTAATTTCCACCTGTGAAACCACCTCTCTAGGAATCTCTAGCCACTTCATCACACTAGAGAATGAACCCACTTTAAATCTGGTTTCTACCTCCTGCAGAATTCTGGGGTTTGTAGTTCAGTGAGGCTGATAAAGGATCCTCCCAAAACTACAAACACCAGATTTCTGCTGGAGGCAGCAACCAGATATAAAGTGGATTCAATCTCTAGTGTGATGAACACATAGAGTTCTCCCTGGGCAATTCCTGTGGGAGATGATCATTAAGGGCCCTTCCACACAGCCTTATCCCAAACTATCAAGGCAGAAAATCCCACAATATCTGCTTTGAACTGGCTTATCCGAGTCCATACACAGATAATGTGGGATTTTGTGCCTTGATATTCTGGGATAGAGGGATGTGTGGAAGGGCCCGAGTCATCTTGGAGGTCCTAGAAAGAACATCTTGATCAAATGCAGGAATAATCAAATCCACAAAAGTTAACCTCACAAATGTGGAGAGCGGACTGTATTTATGTTTACTGAAAAAATCTCTGGCTTGCACTTATTTGCCAGAAGTGGGGACCTTCTATGTAGCTGGACTCTAACATCTATCATCCCCATCCAGCATGGCTATTGGGCAGGGATGGCATAATCGGAAACTTCTGGACACCCACAGGTTCCCCACTTCTGCAGTAAGTCATCCTTTTAAACGACACTTGGTTATCTTCGAAAGAGATCAAGTAAATAACAATGTTGGGCAACGGGTGGAAAAGGTTTCTAAAGATGTGCGTAGGTGTATCCATGGCAAAGTATGTTGGAAAGAGAAAACAACCGTACAAAATGAGTCAGCACCTTCAGATCTCCAGAGGATGCATCTTTTTTTGCAGATGGAAAGATTTCAACACAGTCAGTGAATATGCAGCTTGACTCAAGCTCTCTCTTGACTGCATTTGAAACTGATGCACTTTCAGGGGAAAAGGCACCACATCTGACAAAACAAGCTCCATATGAATGCAACATAGAAGAACTGTGTTACCAAGGCAGATGTTCGATAAAAACGAATCTTATAATGGTGACGAACCCACCCTTTCCTCTAAAAATGGCTACCTGTGGGTCACAAAGGCTAAGGCTGCTATAAAAGATTTTGTCTTATCCACAAAGACAACTTGATCCTCCCAAGGAAGGTAATGTGGCTGTTAAAACAGTTGTACATGTTCATCTTTTCAAGAAGTTACAAAGAACCACTGCTGGTGTTCCCACCCAACTGGTCACCAACAGATAAAGAACAAGCTCTAAACGAAAGTTACAAGTGCAATTGCAGATTCTTCGTGTGAATGCCGTCATTACAGGAGTGCCGTTTGGCATTGCTGCCATGATATTGAACGGTTTTTTCATCCTGACTCGTGATATTCCTCTAGGCTTGTGGCCTTCAAGACGTCGTTGAACTGCAACCCTATCTAGGGCCCTTCCACACTGTCATATAACCCAGAATATCAAGTCAGAAAATCCCACAATATCTGCTTTGAACTGGATTATCTGAATCCACACTGCCATATATTCCAGTTCAAAGCAGATAATGTAGGATTTTATTCAGCTGTGTGGAAGGAGCCATAGTCAATAGTGAGGCAGTGTGGCTATTGCAATTCAACAATATCTGGAGGGTTATATGTTGACACCCCATCCTTACTTACTCCTAACCATAGAAAGCTAGCATTTCAGGGCAAAGGGTGAGCTAAACCTTCTTGGCACACTTGGTTTTTTTATATATGGGTGTGTTGTCTTCCAAACATTCAAAGAAGCAATATCCACCTTGTAGTTGTCACCCAATGTGCTCTGTTTCCTTTTTACTCTTCAACAGTAATTTGCTCTTCAAATTAATTTTGGATTATTGTTGAACCTGACACTAGAAAACATCCCCACATGTCTGACTAGATTGGGCTCCACCACAAATGCCCGCTCCCCCTTCTGACGGAGTAGCGAGTATAGGGCGGTATCTTTGGCAAAGCCTTGGCGGCAGTGTAGTTCCTGCAAGTAATTCAAGACACGGTGGGCGGTAAAGTCAGAGAACAGCATGGCAGGAGTGCAGCACTCTGACGCAGGCACAATGTTGTAGAGCGAAGGGGACAAGCGGCGAAGCTCCAAAAAATAATGCCGACCCACCAGCTCTACCAGCAGCATGCTATAGAAGGCAAAAAATAGCAAGATAGGCCAAGTCAGACCAGAGCGCCTGGATGTCCAGGTGTACAGAAACCCCAGTAGTGTCCCGCAGAACATGCCTATTCCAAGCCACTCAAGGATTCTCATGGGCTCCGGGTTGAGATAATGTTGCAGTCGCTCAGGATGGTAGAGTTTCACATAAAGGGCATCACGGAGGTGCGACTTAGAGAACCGTGTTTGCAACAAGTGATGCAACACTGGAAAGAAATCTTCCTCCGGGACAGCATCGTCTTCCACCAGCAGAACGTAGTCCGAATTGTAGGCCCGAAGTGATTTCACAAGGCAATAGGAATAATCCCGCTTCTCCTTTTCAAAGCGGTTCAATGAGGGGTCTGGACCCTCACTGCCACTGTAGCGCTTCACTACAGCAAAGAACTTAGCAAGTAACTTGGCATCCTCGTGGCTGTCAGGATCAGTGTCCACATTGCAGATTAAGATTTTGTGGTGTTGGCAAGGGGCCCCACATTCCCAGAGAAGGCGGTGGAAGCGGGATGCCACCTGCAGCACGTAGTGGAACTCAAAATTCCTCTGCACTGTTATGATGGTGATCAGCAGCTGGGGTGGTAAGAAGGTCTCATCAAATAAGTTTCCACTGCCAAGTTGGGGGCCTCTAGCTGTCGAGTTGGGGGACAGCAGCTCCTCAAAGTAATGGAGGGCTTTTAGACCCTCCTCCTGGTTCTCCTGGATAAAATCTTGACTCATGGGGTTCAAGTACCAGTGTCGCACATAAAAGTAAGAATGGAGGAGCTGCTGGCAAGTTAGAGGAGCTAGCACACCAAATGTGGCAATTGTCAAGGCCAGGAATTGTATCCATGGGTTGGACCAACGGCAGAACCTTCCCCAAGGCAGCAATCTTCGTGGGAACATGGCTAAGACCGTGCAGTGGATGGCAACCCATAAGCTCAAGCCACGAGTATTTCATTCAGACCATCTTTTCTTTCTGGAGTAATGTTCCTTGTAGCTTACTCAATAGATTTGATTCTACAAAGAAAGGAAAACACAATTATTACCAAAATTCTTAAAACAGATACTCTTATTGCAATCTTTAAGCTACTACTGGAGCCCCAGGTGGGGCAATGGATTCAACCCTTGTGCTAGCAGGACTGCTGACCGATAGGTCAGTGGTTCGAATCCGGGGAGAGCAGGTTGAACTTCCTCTGTCAGCTCCAGCTCTCCATGTGGGGACATGAGAGAAGCCTCCTACAAGGATGGTAAAACATCAAACATCTGGGCATCCCCTGGGCAACGTCCTTGCAGACGGCCAGTTCTCTCACACCAGAAGCGACTTGCAAGTCGCTCCTGACTTGGAAATTCTCTAATTGCATACCTGGACAAATCTCTTTGGAAGGTGATAAGGTGCAGGAGCACTATATGTTAAAGGTGATAAATGTACATATGACAGTTAACATAGTGCAGTAATGTGAGCATTGGACCATGACCCCTGGAGACCAGGATTTGCCTTCCTACTTGGCCATGGAAACTTACTGGGTAAGTTTCTTGGACAACTCTCACATTCTCAGTCCCAGAAAACCCCATGATAGGTTCACTTCAGGGTCAAAAATAACTTGCAGGTACACAACAATGAAACAAATGGACATATGCAAATACCATCTCCAATTACAACTGCTCTAGAGCTTTATTAAATCACAAAGCTCTTGGAAGAATCTTCTGTGCCGGGGAGAACATGAGTAAAGAGAACATGAGAAGACAGAGCTGCCTGTTTCAACAGCCATTGCTCAAATGTGGCTATTCAGGTTTTTCAAGTTGGATATGTCACAATATGCAGTATGTTAGAGATGATACCATACATTGCACATAAAAGGAGATCCGGAGGAACAGGCGCTTTTTAAGCAGCTACTTTTGTCTTTCCACATTGATTTAGTATACTCTGTGTGTGCGTGATGGAAAAATCACTTTCCAAATGAAAATTCTGCACTGAAAACCTCCAGTGCCTTGAAACAACTAAAATACTGAGAACTGTAACATGCTGAAAACATGTTAACACATTAAATACTTGTGAATGATTCAGTGCATTTGGATTACAAAAGCTGTATTTCGATCAATGTGTTGTTGAAGGCTTTCATGGCCAGAATCACTGGATTGCTGTGAGTTTTCTGGGCTGTATGGTCATGTTCCAGAAGCATTCTCTCCTAACGTTTCGCCCACATTTATGGCAAGCATCCTCAAAGGTTGTGAAGTTATACTGGAATAACCAGTAAATTTGGTCTCTGTTCAGTAAAACCAGATTAGGGTTCAATATACGGGTCAACATTTACATTTCACAAGTGAGGCCCGTAACAAAATGTTGGGAAGTGCCCAGTTCAGGTTCTGGTGACGCCATTTTAAAAAGAGATATATAATTCTTTCCAGTCTCCTTTCTGGAGATGTATTTCCTAAGGAAAGAGCAAAATATGGACTGTCCTAGCAGTTAAGGATCTTCCTCTCCAAATGAAAATGTACATCCATTACAGCAACTTAAACTTCAGTTGAGGATTTAGAAATACATTTTAGGCATCCAAAGAAAAAAGGCAGACGTTACCCAGAAGATGCAAACAGAAAATTCTAGGTATGATTTTAGGCGTCTCGCTCTTCTGGACATGCCCTTTGCTATTATAATTTATTTGGTATGGAGCCCCCGGTGGCACAATGGGTTAAACCCTTGTGCTGGAAGGACTGCTGACCAAAAGGTTGGTGATTCAAATCCGGAGAGCGGGATGAGCTCCCATCTGTCAGCTCCAGCTTCTCATGTAGGGACATGAAGCCTCCCATAGGATGGTAAAACATCCAGGCATCCCCTAGGCAATGTCCTTGCAGACAGCCAATTCTCTCACATCAGAAGTGACTTGCAGTTTTTTCAAGTCACACCTGACATGAAAGAAAAACTGGTAGCCTTTTGGAATGACTGGGCTCTGCATCTCGCTCTCCACAATGCTAGAAATTTGAGGACTGAAGAAATTTTTCATAGAAATGCAGGATTCCTGAGATGTCAATACTCACATTTCACCTCTCTCCCGGAGCTACAACCCTACTTCTGTCCTTGGTATTTTGCAGTTTTCGAGACATTTTATAGGAAATGAACATGATTAGTATTTATTCTCAAGCCCCTTTTCCTCAACTATTTTTTAACATGTCAGCAAACTTTGGGCTCCTTCCTTCGCATGACAAAACTAAATACCCAGTCATTCCAAAAGGCTACCAAATAAATTATAATACCAAAGGGCATGTCCAAGAGAGAGCTACTCTGTTTCATGCATTTTAAAAAAAATCCTCCCTTGCTCTTACTTTGGTAACCTGGTGACAAGTATTTCAACCATCAATGTTTTTTTTTTTAAATAAAGTTTTAATCTATTTGTTTTTTCATTCAAGATGAGTCTACAGGGAAAATAATTCCTAAAACAATAAAATACATTGTGTGGAAAATTGTGTGCGTGTATTTTTCGAGAGAGAGGGCCAACACTTTCATGAGCTACTATAGCAGCGTTTCTCAACCTGGAGGTGGGGAGCCGGGGGGGGGGGGGGGTCACGAGGTGGGCTTCAGAGGGGTCTTCCTTTAACGTCATTCAAGTCATTGAATCTGAAACCACATAGGTTGTCTTTTAGAAGACCTCTGACTTCTCTGTGTAGCCTGACACTGAATGATGTTAAAACAGCTTTAAAATCATGGGTCATGAAGCAAAACCTTGAATTTTTCCAAAATGGTCTTGATGCCTGGGTTAAACAATGGTGAGAATGTTGAATGGTAATTTTGAGTAGGGGATAGTTCAGGCCATGATCTGTAGCACCTTCTGTTATATGTTCATTCATAACTTCTGTTATATGTTCATTCATTATGAACAGGAGGCAAACTTTCTGACCCACCCTCGTACATCCTGCATATCAGATATTACATTACAATTCATAACTGTAGCAAAATTACAGTTATGAAGTAGGAACAAAAATAATTTTATGGTTGGGGGTCACCTCAACATGAGGAACTGTATTATGGAGTCGTGGCATTAGGAAGGTTGAGAACCACTGTTCTATATGGATCCGTGAACCCCCCCACCCCAAGTTTATGAATTGCCTTTATTCCATGTTGTTGTTGTGTGGTGTCAAGTCATTTCTGTCTCATGGTGACCCTAACAGAAACCTATTATGAGATTTCCTTGCAAGATTTCTTCAGAGCTGGTTTAGCACTGACCTTCCTCTGAGTGTGATTTGCCCAAAGACACGCACTGGGTTTCTATGGCTGACAAACCCTGGCCTCTACAGTTGAAGTGTAATGCTCAAACAACTACATCACAACGACTCTCCGTTATCCCAATTTATTAAAATAAATCTTATTCATTCTCATTTTGATTTTCTTATCCACCTATTTACTCGTCAGCAAATTAGAAATTAAAGGAAGAAATACGCATCTCCGCCTATGAACCGGCGAGGATGTTAAGATCGTCCGGGGAGGCCCTGCTCTCGGTCCCGCCAGCATCACAAGTGCGGCTGGCGGGGACGAGGGACAGGGCCTTCTCGGTGGTGGCCCCTCGGCTATGGAATGCACTACCAGCGGAGATCAGGCAGGCCCCTTCGCTATTGGCGTTTAGGAGGCGGGTCAAGACGTGGCTCTTCGAACAGGCGTTCGGATAAGCATGCAATAACATCTGACTCAGATAGACGGCATACTGAACAAGGAATGGTAAAACGACTGTGAGATTGGATCTGATTCTATTCGAGGCGTGATGACGTTTTGTGTATTGTTTGTCGATGTTTGTCTCATGTATTGTTCAATGTTGCACATTTTTTACTGTAAACCGCTTAGAGTCGCCTTTTCTGGCTGATATAGGCGGTATACAAAAGGAGTAAATAAATAAATAAATATATATATATATATATATAGAGAGAGAGAGAGAGAGAGAGAGAGAGAGAGAGAGCATTTTGGCCTTTCAGCTGATGGACCTTACACTTAATCAGGGAGTCCCATATGAGATTGCGCAACCGTATTTCCATCTATGAACCCACACAATCCCTTTGATCTTCCAGAGAGGTCCTTCTTTCGCTCCCGCACGCATTGCAAGTGTGACTTGCGGGGACAAGAGAGAGGACCTTCTCTGCGGTGGCCCCCCGGCTCTGGAACTCTCTCCCCAGAGATATTAGGCAAACCCCCACACTGGCAATCTTCAGGAGGAATTTGAAAACTTGGTTATTCCAATGTGCCTTCAGTAATTGAATGTAAGATTCTCCCTGACCACACTTTGCTCAAAATGTCCTTAGAAGCACTTTATTTTATGGTTTGTGCAATGAAATCTTTCCTCATTCCTGGAGCCTCCTCCTTATAATTTACACTGTCCTATCTCCCAGTGTTTTAAATTTTTTATCCTTGAATCTGGCCCTGCCTAGTGAAATTGATTGATTTTATATTATTGTGTAGTATATTATTTGATTTTGCATTTTATGTAATTTGCTTGGTTCTACTATTTTTTGTGTGTGTTATATTGTTTGTATTGTATTGATGGGCGTGGCCTCATGTAAGCCACACCGAGTCCCCCTGTGGGAGATGGAGCGGGGTATAAATAAAGATTATTATTATTATTATTATTATTATTATCTGCACTACATTTATCCAGTCAAATTTCATTTGGAGGAAACTCTAATTGTCCTGGAAATTGATAAAGATAATATTGGTTAACAAAGCAGAAATATTCAAGTATAACCAGATGTTTCAGCTTCTACCTTCTTCGGTTCCTCTGGCACAGAGTAAACGGTAACAAAAATAGAACACAGGAGATGGAATATTCTAAAATGTTTCATTTTCAGTTGGTAGCTCCTCTTAGTTTTACTCTCTAGGATGAAGCTGTGTCGTTTAAGACCCAAAAAGTAGAAATACTTCCTCATCCGTATAGAGAAGGATTAGCATCGTTCATCCTGCTCAGATGGCAAACTTTGGAAATAGTCTTCAACTAGCTGGTATCTTTAAGGACCTTAATTTATAAAACCTCTGCCTGGTGACA